TTTGTTGATAGCTCAAAATTGGAAGAGTAAAGTTTTACCTACAATGGAGGACTGGAGATTGAAGGTTTCACATCTTGCTGAAATGGCAAAAATTTCGGCTTATCTGAAGGATCACTCAAATGAACAATTTTTATCAATATGGAGAAGATGGATTGTTTATATTCAAAATAAACATAGAATGGTGGAATATAATTTAGGTTTTTAGATAAATTTTTTTTTTATATATATATTTCACCTACTTATGTAAAATAATATTTTGTGGAGTTAGGGATATTAATACTAGTTTACTTTTAGTTGAATAGTATCCTGGGATTAGGTTTGGGAAGTCCGGGGGTGGGGGGTGGGGGGTAGGGTTTTTACATTGTGATGTATTTGTGATGTGCTTTTTTTTTATGATGAAAATAATAAAAATTTATATTTGAAAAAAACAACAACAACTGTGTAGGTGCTATTGCAAAATGATCTCTGGTCTTCTTCCTGACAAAGTGCACAAGGACATCCCTTGGAACATTTCTTTATTTTGCAAAATGTGTATTAATTCTATAAACTTTATCAATCTCTGCTCAGTGTTAGCTGCCAGTTCAAAAAATTAGACAGAAACTTAACTATCTTTTATCTAATATAGAGGTTGTTCTAGAATTACTGTAAATCTTAAACATGTTCTTTTTCTCTCAAGTTCCAGTAATGTGAAGTTATCCAACTTTTCTCCATTTCTCTATTAATATCGCCTATCTTACTTTTCCCAAACTTCCACTTTGTCGGTAATATTACATTGAGAATTAATAGTACAGATGTAATTGTACTTAAAGAAATTCCAACTAGAATACTACGTAAAAGAAAAGAGGTTTTTTTTCCCTGACAAATCTAAACAGAAGAAAATGCCATTGAGATAGGATGAGTTGGGAGGGATGAGTTCCACTTTTAAGCAGGAGATTCAAAGTAAACTCTGTGCAGAAACCTTTTTTTTTACATTAGGAGAAAGATATCAAATAATTGAGCTGCAAAATTTGAGAGAAGAATTTATTTCAGCAGGATAGAAAAAAATGAGTCTTTTTGTATATAAAATATAAATATATATAAGATGCAAAATGCAGAGGAGGATTGGGTTTACTAGATTTGAAATTGCATTTCACTGCTTATTATTTGATCTGGATGAAAGAATGGCTATTTCTGAGAAACAAGAAACTTTTAGAGTTAGAAACTAGGAAATCTACTAGCTAGAAGATTTAGAGCTAGAAGATCACAACTTATGGTTTGGAATGCATGGCTAGTTATGGTATGATAAAGTTAAAATTAATGTGGCTATCAAAAACAATTTTATTGAATTAGTCATATTGAGAATATGGAATAGATAAACCCAGGTTGTGCCCAAAAGCACCTTTAGAAATGCTCAAGAAACATATTATAAAAAAAAACCAGCAGATAAGCAAATGATTGATATAGTGGGAACTGTTGGGAAACCATCAAGGGTAATTCAAACTTAGATCAAGAGAGAAATTAACAGCAGAAAGAGATAGTTGTCAATAGCTTTCCCATTTACTATTATCAGAAATATTTAAAATGGACAAAAAGACTGATGGCACGTAGCAAACTGAGACAGTATTTGAAGTACAATTGTGCATTGATAATGAACATCTAATTGATAAAATATATAAGCTTTTGTTCAAATTTGAAACAGGAAGATTTAAGAATGTATGATAAGGTTGGCTAAGAATTTGGTTATAATATATAGAAGGGTTAATGGAAAAATATGTGGTTAAAAGTATTGATGTTTGCATTGTGTTATGATCTGAAAGAGAATTTTTATAAAATGATGTATTGTTGGTATATGACAGCAGAGACATTATGTAGAATGTATAAAGCCACTTCAAATTCTTTTTTCTTCTTTACTTCATATTTGTTTGTATTTTCTTTTTAAAAAGTTTTAATTTATATATATATAAATTAATTATGTATGTATGTATGTATGTATATATGTATGTGTATATGTATAATGTTGATGGAGGAAAAGTAGTCATTTGATAACTTGAGGCAGGGTTGATGGAGTGAAAGAGAAACAATATGAGTTTGACCAATGCAATTTTAATGCATATTTACTCAGAAAAAAATACTGTCTTATTATTCTGAGGAAAGCATGTATTGTAGTGTGCATTTAAGATTAATGCTGCTCCATTAGAGGAACCGAATGACGTGAATTCAGACCCAAACTAATTCTTCTTGTCTTCAAGGTAGACGATGTGGATGGAATGAAGTCATTTAAACAAAAGATACTGCCTTGCGCTTTGGACAAGCAAACCCAGAATCTTATGACACTCATATTCAGCAATGACATGTTTAAAGAAGCCATGCAGACCATGAATATAGGTAAATGGTTCAGGGGGCACTTTTCTGGAGCATGAAAGAAAACATCGCTTTCTTTTATGTACAGTTAACAGAGAATTTTTTCAGAATGGTTTTATCTTGGTTGGTCTAGTTAGTATCAAGCCAAGTCAATTAAAGTTAGGAAGCCTGATGGTTAGAGTGTTCAGATTTGTCTCTTGGCTTTCTTCACAAATGATGATCAATTTATAAATCACTGGTAGTGCTCAGTGTGAAAACCTTAAAGGACACAGGTTTAAATTGCCGATAGTATTCCAATTCTGGTGGCTTTAGCCATTGACTTGTAAATATCCTGGAAGTGTTAGATTGATCAGTATGGAAATTTCTTATGTCTGTTTCCCTGCCAGATGTGAAGAAGATGCCATTGGGAAAGCTGAGTAAACAGCAGATTGCCAAGGGCTTTGAAGCTTTGGAAGCTATTGAAGAAGCTCTAAAGAAGCAACCACACTCCCAGAAGCAGCTGGAGGAACTTTCATCTCGCTTTTATACCATTATTCCCCACAACTTTGGTCGTAATCGCCCTCCATCCATCAATACACAAGAAGTTGTCCAAGCTAAGAAGGATATGCTCCTGGTAAGGAGTTCTCAGAAAGGATCAACCTTCACATTTTATGTTTTAAATCGTCATTACAGAAGATTTCTATCCAAATTTTATGTGTGTAAGCTGGGATACTAAATACTTTGATGACATGTCTTCAGTTTTGCGTTACCTTTATTAAGCTCTCCTGGAAGCCATTGGTTGGCTTGGGATGCCTAAGCAAGCTGACAAAATCAGAGAACAGAAGCGAGTAACAAATGTGCTTCTGTGTGGCCGTAAACATTATATCCTGGAATTATGCTTTAAAAAAAGAGGTGGGCAATCCATGGCCCATATTCAGTCTTTGAGTTCCTTTGTGATTGCCCTCATGTTCCTCTAAAATCATGCAGCTGAAATTCAACATAATACTGCAAATAAGGATAATATGATTTTCTGCCAATTTCTGATAATTTTCTAAAAAGTATACTATTTTACTATAATTAAAGTAATTCCCTAATAAGACACCTAATACCAACTAAAGCACTCCCAAACTGAGAAAACAAGGTGATGTTTTCTGACCTTGTCTTCTCCAAGGGCGACATCTCATTACCACCATGCTTCTGTAATTCTTAATTGTGAAACAAAATTTTTAAAAAAGTTGGCTCCTAGCCACAAAAGAGTTGTGCATTTTTTCTTTCAAAGATAAGAATTCAGTCATCCTATGAAATGCAGCTCTAGTATTTCACACCCTTCCATCTCATGCATCGTAGCCTCTTTGTGTTCATATTAGCCTTAAAATTTAAAAAAGAAATATAATAAGTTGAATAAGATGAGCCCTTCCTAGCAATTGTCCTTGGACATCTAGGTCAGTGGTAATAACATAGCTTGACATGCTTAATAATGGAAAAGAAAGCTACTGTTATCGGCTGAAGTTTGTAGACACGTAAAACAAAACAGCCTGAACAAAAAGGCCAACTGAGCTCTTGCACTTCTTAAATGATAAAACCACAGTTCATAGTCCCCAGCTGGATGCTTAATTAATGAAACATTTTGCCATGAGGGCATAGATTATATATCTATACTTCTATAGTATAAAATTAAGATAATAGATGGTTACAAAATTGGACTGGGACTAAGAAATCCAAGTTGAAGTCTACTCTGAGGCATAAAACCTCACTAGTTCTTAGCCCAACCTGCCTGACAGAGAGATTGTGCTGAGGAAAATTTGGAGGAAGGAGTGCTATATACTTGAGGAAACATGGGATGTAAATCTAGTAACTAAAACAACATGTTTGTTATTCTTCTTTTCAAGCCAGCAGATGCATACTAATTCAATTCGTTGCTAGTAGCATGTTCCTAAATGTGTTTATTCCAAATAATTGCCCTTTTAATTTCAGTGGGGCTGGCTGTTCTGGAAATGCCCAAATGTAAGATTATTGCTTCCACGTGCATCTCATCTGCATCCCAGTGTTGGTGCTGACTGGTTTACTTTATTGGTAGGTGCTAGCAGATATTGAACTGGCCCAGAGTCTACAAGTCCAGAAGAAGGAGGAGGAGGAAGAGGAAGAGAAGGAAATGGTGAAAGAAGTTCTGCACCCGCTGGACAAGGATTATGGGCTTTTGAAGTGTGAGCTCACCTTGGTGGGTCAATCATCTGAGGACTATAAGGTAAGATGGCCCTACAAGCTGCTTCTTATTTGCTTTAAATATTGAGGTACCACCAAGCAGCTGAGACTGGGCAATACAGGGTAAAGGATAACATATGGGATAGTCTCTTCCACAGCTAGAAATGTTGGTTAACTAATTCTCATCTCAGTTCTTTGATGATCACTTTCTTTCTTCACTTTTCTTCCTCTCAACCCTACTAGCTGATTGAAACCTATGTGAAGAAGACAGGTTCCACTTACCAAAAGCTTCGTATCATGAATATTTGGAAGGTGAACAGAGAGGGTGAGGTAAGGTCATAGAGGAATATCAACTTCCCTGGTCTGCCCTAGGGCTGAGATTGGTTTCTACTTAAGATCATGTTGGCTGAAGGGAGCAGGGCTATTCCGGCACATCTTAAAGGTTGGGGAAGATTGCCCATAGGAACATATAATCAGAACTGATGTCTTAAAATTCTTAGGCCATATTCCTTTGATTCTGGTAACTCTGATTCTCAGAGCATGTGCCAATTGAGTCAGAAATATTTTTGAGATATCAAAAGAATGTTTGAGATCAAAAGCCCTGCAGTCCATCTGACTGGACCTACCTCCCGAGATATGGGGGCAGGTAGATGATAAAACCACTTTCGATTGTGAGACATTAAGACTTTAAAGCAGGGCTTTTCAACCAGTGGTACGGGTACCACCTGTGGTACATTGGCACCTGGCAGGTGGTACGCGACCATCCTAGAAAAGTAGTAGCGGGGGAGGGGAATGAGCTGAACTGGTGGCAGCATCGCATAAGCCTGAGCGAGAGATGGCTGGAGCTGCAGGCTGTCAGGGCTCAGCGGAAGCGCCAGGATCAGTGCCGCTTTCCAGCTGATCGGCGCTTCTTCGGGGCTGTCAGGGCTCAGTGGAAGCGCCAGGATCAGCGCCAGGCTCCAGCTGGAGCTCAGTGCTGATCCTGGCGCTTCTGCTGAGCCCTGAAGAAGCGCCAATCAGCTGGAATGTTGCAGCATCTCCAGGGTCTTGTGATTTACACTCAGATGCTTGGCAACTGATTCATATTTATGACGGTCACAGTGTCCCAGGGTCATGTGAAGTGACCAAAACCTGCTGCAACCACCCAGCAGACGGGGGGAATAAAAACAAAACACCCCCCACCCCACCCCCGCTGCCAATCCTCAACAGAAATGCTCACAACAATGAAAACCTCGGACAGGAGGAAGAGCGCTGCAGGGCGCTGTCTTGCTTGGCTGTGGCTTGGGGGGCACTTTTTTCAGTGCCATTGTAACTTCGAAGAGTCACTAAGCGAACTGTTGTAAGTCGAGGACTACCTGTACTTTATCACTTTTTTCCTTTGGGGGGGGTCATCAAGTTTTTGACACCTTGCTATGGGACTGGTGGTACTCGGATGTTGCCATATCCTAAAAGTGGTACAATGGGTGAAAAGGTTGAAAAGCCCTGCTTTAAAGAACCATAGGTATCCATTGGCAGAATAGGGGATAACCAGTCAGAGGTGCAGATGAGTCCGTACTTCAACAACATGACACAGGAAAGCCGTGTTTGGCTTTCTACCTTTCCTTTATTCAAATATGACTTGAGGAGGAACAAAAAAGTTACTAGCTCAGTTCCCTGTTTCATTTCCTAAACAGAACCATCGTTTTAAGACTCATGATGACTTGGAAAATCGGCGTTTGCTCTGGCATGGGACTAACATAGCTGTTGTTGCTGCCATCCTGAAGAGTGGCTTGCGCATCATGCCTCATTCTGGTGGCCGTGTTGGCAAGGGAATTTACTTTGCTTCTGAAAACAGTAAATCAGCAGGTTATGGTGAGAGCACATTCATTATTATTCTACCATCTGCTGCTCTTCCATTCTCTCTCTCTCTTTCTCTCTCTCTCTCTCTCTCTCTCTCTCTCTCTCTCTCTCTCTCTCTCTCTCCGTATAGATGTACATATATATATATATACACTGTACAAACATATATACACATAAACATCATACACAGGGACTATAGAGGGAGTCTATAGAGGACTATAGAAGAAGGAGTCAAGCTATTTTCCAAAGCACCTGAAGGCAGGACAAGAAGCAATGGATGGAAAATAATCAAGGAGAGAAGCAACCTAGAACTAAAGAGAAACTTCCTGACAGTTGGAACAATTAACCAGTGGAACAACCTGCCTCCAGAAGCGGTGAATGCCCCAACACTGGAAGTTTTTAAGAAGAGACTGGACAGCCATTTGTCCGAAATGGTATAAGGTTTCCTGCCTGAGCAGGGGGTTGGACTCGATGACCTCCAAGGTTCCTTCCAACTTTATTATTATTATTATTATTATTATTATTATTATTATTATTATTATTATTATTATTATTATTATTATTATTATTATTATTATTATTATTATTTGAGAACCAGTTTGGTGTAGTGGTTAGGGCATCATGCTAGAAACCAGGGGATCATGAGTTCTAGTCTCACCTTAGGCACAAACCAGCTGTGCAATTGAGCTAGTCACTTTCTCTCATGTGGAATAATAATTTATCTCCTGATATTGCATCTGTGTTAAAATATCCTAAAAAGTTGTCACAGCTATGATAGCTGTTTTATCATTTTTTGTATGGGTGTGACCTTTGAGTCAGTATTGACTTTGAGCAACTGACTGGACAAATCCTTGCAGTTTTCCTGGCAAGTTTTCAGAAGTGGTTTGCCATTATCTCCTTATTAGGGCTGAGAGAGAGTGACTGGCCCAAAGTCATCCAGCTGGGTTCATGTCTAATTTTTATATTTAATAGTAATTTTATTAAAAAGGACATACAGTGACAAAAAACTATAATACAAATTAGAAAATAAAACATTAAAAGATAGAAAGTGCAGTAAAGAAAAAAATATTTGAAGAGAAGGATTAAAGGGGACATATAACATTCTTCCAGTACTGAAGGGGCTGTCACAGAAAAGAGGGGATTGACTTATTCTCCAAAGCACCAAAGGGCAGGATAAGAACTAATGGGCGAAAGCTTGTTAAAGAGAGATCCAACCTATAAATAAGAAGAAATTTTCTGATAGTGAGAACAATTAATAAATGGAATAACTTGCCTCCTTGGTTTGTGGGTGCTCCATCACTGGAGATTTTCAAAAATAGTCTAGACAACCATTTGATAGAGATAATAATAATAATAATAATAATAATAATGATAAAAGTTGGAAGGGACCTTGGAGGTCATCAAGTCCAACCCCCTGCTCAGGCAGGAAACCCTATACCATTTCGGACAAATGGCTGTCCAGTCTCTTCTTAAAAACTTCCAGTGTTGGAGCATTCACCGCTTCTGGAGGCAGGTTGTTCCACTGGTTAATTGTTGACAGTCCTTCAAAGAGGAATCAAGATCCAACGAAGAGAGGAACTAATCAAAGGTAGGCAACGAAGATGTCCTGCCTTCAGGTGCCTTGGAGATCTAGTAGTCCTAGTGGACCACTTAAATATGAGCCAGCAATGTGTTACAGCTGCCAAAAAAGCCAATATAGTCCTGGGTTGCATCAACAGAGGGATAGCATCAAGGGTCTGTTACACATTTTAATCAGTAGGGCTGTGCCAGCACTCTGGAATAATTCAAATATGATGCTTTACAGCATTTAGGAATATGAACATAGCCCCTTTCTGTACCTGTTTTCCCATATTGTGTAGCAACTGTAAAGAGTGATCATATGGTTCCTGGAGAAAATGTGCTGCTTTAAAAAGTTGAAGAAAGGAGTTATGTTCACAATCCCACCCACTTTAACAAGCCTCTTTTATCCAGGTCACTCTCTTGGTTTGTTAATTGTATATTCCTTTTAATTAGCTTCTTTTTCCATATCATTCTTGTAGCCTGTGATTTTTCAATCTCCTCTCAGATCAGCCTCAGGCTTCTCCAGTAAAACTTGTTCTTCTTCCATAACATCTTTTAAGCAGAGTCTATCTGTACAGGCAGACAGTCTTAAAATTAACTTCTGAGTCCAGTGTTAAAAAATATCCCTCAAAATCTAGAATGTTAAAATATTTAGCTCAATTCTGTATTAATACATGAAATTTAAGTATTCTTTAATTATAATCTTTAATTCCTTCAAATTCCCTCTAGTATCTAAACTTCAAAGTTCTATCCTATAATTATTTTTAGAAAAAGAATTCAAAACAAAAGCATTTTCCCATGGAGAGAATTCTTATAATTCCAAAATCTTATTTCAAATCCATCTGGATCCTAATTCCATTTGTAACTTTCCAAAATCAAAGTTCCAATCAACCTTTTGCTGTTTCTTTCAATAAAAGTTCTTAAACTTGTATTTAAATTTTCCTTTCACTAAGGATTGAAGGAAACTCACCCAGTGCTATAAAACCCATCAATCCAAAAGTTCCTAACAACTGAACCTATTAGTTAGCAACCAATTTCCAAAAGTTGTTAGAAAAGGAAGTACGTGAACCCAGTGTCCTTTCAAAGGCCCAACAGTGACTTGAGCAAGATGGCTATTCCCTCATCTCCCAGAGCTCTAAACCAGTGGTGGGATTCAGCCAGTTCGCACCAGTTTGGTAGATCTGGTAGCTAAATTTTGTTGAGTTCAGAGAACTGTTTGAACCTATGCTGCTTCTGGAAGTCCGTTTTAGGCCTCGGAGGCCTGGAGGAGGTCTCCCAGGCCTAGAAAGGCCCACGGGAAGTGCATTGATGTCACTTCCGGAAGTCTGTTCTAGGCCTCGGAGGCCTGGAGGAGGCCTCCGAGGCCTAGAACAGCCCACAGGAAGTGTGTTATGTCACTTCCGGACGTCCATTCTAGGCCTCGGAGGCCCAGGCCTGCATCCATGCAGAGAACTGGATGTTAAGGTATTTGAATCCCACCACTGCTCTAAACCCACCGGAGACTTGAAAGTATATCCTTCTAGGGCCATCTTTATGTGCTAATTGGAAAACTGCAGTATTTAATAAACAGGAAGCATGCAGGCCATGCAAGCCAGCTGTCCTGCGACCAGCATTTCAACCTCTTATTACTTATACTACATCCACTCCACTCTTTCCCAAGTGGGAAAAGTCAGGGTGAATAAGATGTCCTCCCTAGGAGGCAGTGAGTATGCATAGCATTTGAGGAGGTCAGGGGCTAAATGTGAAATGTCTCTGTAGAGCAAAGAAGTAGAATAACAAAGTAAAAATCTTAAACAGTATCTAACATGAATGAATGCACTGTATTTGGGGGATCTTTGGCTGCAGGAAAATTTGGTCATAACCCCAGAATGCAATGGAAACCTGAATTTCAGTAATGTATGAGACTTAAACCCAAGTGGTAGGAAGATCCCTTTTGGTATTTAATCAGATGAGCAACTGTCTTTCTTTTTCTCTCTGCAGTGGGCACTACCTCCAAACGGGAGGGAATCATGTTCCTGAACGAAGTGGCCCTGGGCAAGGTATGTTACATCACTCAAGACGACTGTTCATTGTGCAAGGCCCCAGCGGGTTACGATAGTGTCCAGGCTTGTGGCCATACCGAACCTGGTAAGTTTAAAGACTTGCAGTTTAATAACTTGCAGCCTGATTAGCTCTTGCTAATCCTCTCAATTTCCTAATTTGCATTTGCTTTCATGTCCCCAGACCCTGCATGTGATAAAGAGCTTATCCTGGATGGGAAAAAAGTGCTGATACCACAAGGAAAGCCCATTGTTATGACTAAGTACCAAAACAGCCACTTCAGCCAGAGTGAGTACTTGGTCTACCAGGAGAGTCAATGTTGCATCCGCTATCTGATTCAGCTCCATTTTTGAGGCTTTTCTTGGGCTGTTTTTTCTGCTAGATTCCACTCATTTGCTGGCCCTCATCTTTTCAGTGCTAAGTGCCTGTCTTCAGTACCTACCTTGAGTTGGTCAGCTATACTCCCCAGTTCTCCATCCAGAGTTCATTCAGTAATCATGGCTCCTAGTTCTGCAGAGTAGAGCGTAATGCAACTACCTTGTTTTGAATAGTATGCTGGCTTCCGTAACGCAGGACTTGATGATGCCCAGCAAAACAAAGATGAAATCATTGCCGGATTGCTGCTGTAAAGGGTATTGTGACAAGGGCTAATGACTTTTGGAAACTTTTTGGATTTGCATGGTCTGAAAATAAAAGAAACTATTAAATTGAATCAGTGTCACCCTTCTGTATTTTCTTCTACAGGGTCATGTTTAAATACTCTTGCTACTTACATTTCATTTGCTAAGATGATTTGGTAGAAATTAAGAACCAGGATGATGAAACAAACTGTTTGTGAAGAACAAGGTTGAGTTAAATCTTCACTGCTTCAGCATTATGCTACAGAGATATGCATTCTCCTGAACCAGATTTCCCTTTTCTCCTAGATAGTCCAACAGATTTTGCTTGATAATATTTTGTCTACATTGTAGATGCTCTGAGAAAAATGGCTTTACGCATTAGTACAGGTTTCATTCACTGTCTTCCCTTCATTTATAAGTTCAGAAATTGCTGCTGCAGATACTTAACAGCAAATATAAGAGTTACTGCTAGAGCAGTCAAGAAGGGAGAATAAAAGAAGTACCCACTGAAATTAAAAGTAGGCAGAAAAGGTGCAGGTTTTGGCACACTGGTATACTTTGGTATACTTAGATTTCAGCAAGGCATTTGACAAAGTAGATCACAACCTGCTTCTTGGTAAACTAGAAAAATGTGGGATAGATAGTATCACCACCAGATGGATTTGTAACTGGCTGACAAACCATATTCAATGATAGTCCTTAATGGTAGTACATCTACATGGAAGGAAGGAAGCAGTGGGGTAACACAAGATTCCATCTTAAGCCCAGTACTCTTCAATATCTTCATAAATGACTTAGATGATGGAATAGAAAGAGAACTCATCAAATTTACAATGACACTAAGCTGGCAGGAATAGCCAACACTCCAGAAAACAAGCTCAGGATCCAAAAGGATCTTAACATACTTGAACAATTGGCCCTTGAACATGAAATTTAATGTGGAGAAAAGCAAGGTTTTACATGTAGGCAGGAAAAACCAAAAGTACAAGTACAGATTAAGCGAAACGTGGCTCAAAAACAGTAACTGTGAGAGGGACCTTGGAGTTAGAGTGGATGATCATGTAAATATGAGCCAGCAGTGTACAGCAGCAACCAAAAAAGCTAATACAATCCTTGGTTGTATAAACAGAGGCATAGAATCAAAATCATGTGAAGTAGTACTGCTTTATAAAGCCTTAGTAAGACCACACCTGGGATACTGCATCCAGTTTTGATCACCACATTACAAAAAAAATGTTGAGACTTTGGGGAAAAAGTGCAAAGAAGAGCAACTAAGATGATTAAGGGCCTGGAGACAAAAACATGAAGAACAGTTGCAAGAATTGGGTATGGCCAGTCTAGAGAAAAAAAGGACTTGTGTGACATAATAGCAGTACTCCAGTATTTGAAGGGCTGCCACAAAGAAAAGGGTCAATTTATTTTCCAAAACAGCAAAAGGCAAGATAAGAAACAATAGATGTAAACTAATCAAGGAGAGAAGAAACCTGGAATTAAGGAGAAAATTCCTAACAGGACAATTAACCAGTGGAATAGCTTGCCTTCAGATGTTGTGGATGCTTCATTGCTGGAGGTTTTTAAGAAAAGACTAGTCAGCCACCTATCTGAAATGGTATAGGCCGGGTCTCCGGCTTGCGCAGGGGTTGTACTAGAAAACCTCCAAGGTCCCTTCCAGCTCTATGCTGATTGATTGAGATACTCCTGCATGTTGCTTTCTATTTTCAATCCCTGAATAAAGCCATCACTGTTCTCGCCAATGTGTGAATGGAATGGAGAACAGACTATTTCTGTTTGGAGAAATCACATGGAGTTTTTTTTTAATTATGCATTTGTGGTGGTGTTCTTCCATTTTTTTCTTGAAAAATCATCTAGGTTTGTTACACAATCTTCTCTCAAGAAAGCTTTACTTGTGGTTCAGAAGTGTGAGAGAAATGGGCACTAGAGGGGTGCCTGATCCTACTTGTTGTTAGTCAGCCTTTTGCAATGTTCCCTCCTGCTGATATGTTGGGATTGCCGCTCCCAGAATTCCCAGACATCATGGCCACAATTAGAGATAGTGATGCATAGTTTGAGAGTTGAAAGTACCAGACTGAAAAAGCTATCTTGTTTTCTACAGTTTGTCTCTTCTTTTAGTTCTGCTAACAGGAAATACAAGATGATAGTAGGAGAAAAATTAGTATGGCACACTCTTAGCTTTAGTAAGGTGGCATGGCCTGTAGATACATGAAAGTTATAGTGATACTATGGAGATGGGAGTTTATATAGCTTTAGTAAGCTGGCATAGCCATTAGAGTTTACAACTTCTCTCTGTATATACATAAAATATATACAGAGAGGAGAAATTGTAAACTCAAATGGCCATGCCAACTTACTAAAGCTATATGAACTCCCATCTCCATAGTATCATTATAACTTTCATGTATCTATAGGGAGAAGTAACAATAATAGGTTTGAGGTATGTGCATATTTAAATCCTAAAGGAAATTAATCCTGACTGTCTTTTGGAAGGAGAGATTTTGGCCACCAAATGAGAAGAGAGGATTCATTGGAAAAGACCCTGATGCTGGGAAAGATTGAAGCCAAGAGAAAAGGTCGACAGATGATGAGATGGTTAGATAGTGTCTTTAATGCAGTGGCATGAGTTTGGGCAGACTGAGGGAGACTGTGGAGAATCGGGTGGGGGGGCTGGCAGACACAGAGAGAAGATATTTAACCCCAGTATTCTCCTTATCTAGAAAGGGGGGCAATCCTTTTTACACTAGAAGACCAGTTTTATTTGTGTGACTAGTGGTGTTAAGAACTGCTGCGTGAAATCTTAGCCTCTGAGTCTAAGGAAGATCTTGCTTAATGGGCCTGACAGAAGGAGCAGTTTGTAGATACAGGCAATCCTCGAGTTACGAATGTAACAGAACCTGCTAATTACATTCGTAACCCAAGGATTTGTTATTTGGATCGTGTTAAATGAATGTGATCCCTCCCTGCTTTACCCAATGCATTCGTTAATTGAATGTGCAGGTCGTTAAGTGCACATAAGGTATCTCAGGGTGGGGAAGACCATGGGGGCCTAGTGCCGGAACAGGCCACCTGCTTCTGACCATGCAAGGCCTCCCCCAACCCACTGAGATATCTCATGCTTCCCCCCCATCCTATCCTGATGGGTTTCCACAGGCACTGGGCCTGTGGAAACTCACCTTTTAAAGATCTTGATGATTAAGCAAGCTGTCTCCTCTCCAGCCTCTATGCTGTGGTTTCTTTGCCTGCTCCCGGCGCCCCAAAAGCAGAGCAGTGAGAGCAGAGGCAGAGTGAGACAAGGGTGCCCTGCTCAGCTTGGCTGACTCACTGAGACTGCCTGCGCAGGACACCTGATCTGCTTTTGGAGAGCCAGGTAGCCTCAGTGAATCTGAAGGAGTACGATTTCACGCTCCTGCAGGCCTCCGTGCATGGGGCTCAATATAATATTGCCTAATCCAATGTTTCTCAGTCTCAGCAATTTTAAGATATGTGGACTTCAACTCCCAAAATTCTCCAGCCAGCCATAACTGGGGAATTCTGGGAGTTGAAGTCCACACATCTAAAGTTATCATTGAGAAACACTGGCCTAATCTAATGGACAGGTGCTCACCTAGATCTCATTCAGAAGTTGTATTTAAATCAGCAATACTAAAGTTTAAAAATGAAAACATATATTTATATATGAAAGAATTGTTTTAATGACTTGTGCAACATCACCAGAAAGCTTTGATGTGTCTACCTCCTCACAGGCAAAAGTACACATCACACCCATCAAAAAGAATTAGCATTAATAATCTTTATATGGTACCATTCAAGCAGTTGTAAAGGAGAGAAAGTAAATTGCACGAGAGGCTTATGTTTCATCCATTAGTGTATTAGGCACTATTATCAATTCAAGCATGGAAGTGACAGAAGTCAGAGCTAAATTTAGCACAGTGTCTCACTAGCTGTCCTCATCGGTACCATGCCAAAGAAGAATTTGTTCCTTGTTCTCTTGCAACAGAGTTGTATCTGCCAACAAAGGGTCTGTTGTCATCCATTGTTCCCTCAGTGAAACCTGCATGCTACTAAACCAAAACAAACCAGCATCATAGAGAGATCTGCCACTCCACAGCCGTTCCATTTGATAATAATTTCTACTTTAAAATGCAACTCGCAATTTCTCCACATCATCTTCATCATCTGCAAATCTCAAACATATCCATCTTTTGTTTATGATTTTTATGAATCTGAGGTTTTGCAAAAATTGCCTTTCCATACTACAATGGAGAATTGCAGCCAATCTGTGTTCTCTGTTTATTTACAACTGGTTAGTCCCTGAATCATTATCACGGTTTCCAGTGCTCTGTGAGTTATCAGCCTTTTTTCCCCTTTACAAAGATACAAAGAACCTTTAGGATTTGCATATATATAGATATACCTAGTGCATACATTTTCCCACATGTATTTATATACATGTATTCAGTGGTTTGCAAAATATTCTTCCTGGTGTAGACTTAACGCAGAAGAAGATTGACTTTTGAAATTATTAAAAAATATATTGAGCAGTCTCCCCCCCCCCAAAAAAAAAACCTCTCTTCCATTTTGCCAGATCAATGTAGCAGGGCAAACCTAATGGAAATAGCATGCCAGCAAAATTGCATTTGAGGGTTGCTTAGGTTAGACAGAATAAAATGCTAGTCAGAAGTGAAAAAATAAAAAGCAGCTCCTCTAATGGAAGAACAAGCAGATCTAGAAACACAGGATGAATTAGAAACATTAATTTCTTAAAGAGAAAACATAAAGACATTTTCTGAAGGTTGCAAGGAATCTTGGAAATGTATGCAATACTAACCTTTGTGAATATTCTATGACAGAGGAAGATCATGCTCCCCAAGAAACGGGGGAAAATCAGTATCTGGAAATGCTCATCACAGTCTGAGTTTGGTATTTGCCTTCTACTAGCCAATAAACCTCATAAAGTTTCCTTCCCGGATACTTAATGCAATAAGAGTTTGTGACAAATATGTTTGGGATCAAGTTTGGGTGTCGACAATGGCAGAAGAGGGATACAGATTCTGTATTG